ACCTGATACCCATCGCTGATGACGTCGCTGGACCAACAAGGCGAACTTTTACAAGAAGTTAGCCCTTGAATCAAGTCTTCACCAGCAGCCCTACGTCGATTATTCTTTTCTTCCTTGCAACCCTATCCATTTCCTGGACCCATCACTACCACCTAATGCACGCCCATCAGGACCGAAAGCACGCCATTGAATAAGCTATGCCCCTCTTTTTTGTATGAATAAATTCAAAACACTGTAATGATGACAGGACATCATATCGTCGCGTCAAAATCAGAAAAGAAAAACGTATTTTAGACTGAAGGTTAACGAGTTTGTTCATGAGTTTTGTCTATGGCTTGTCCGATGGATTGGATATGAATACAATTTATTCAGTCCCAGTATTGTTTGATCCATGTCGGACAACCAGGCTCAATTTTAACTCACAAAATTTGAAATGTACACGACAGGGAATGGAAATGAACTTCGTCAGTGTGAATAAACGAGTTATTTTACGGATTTGTATAGTTTTCAATCTGATTTTTTCATCCCCTGAATTCGGAAAACATATACGCGGTACATCAGAGATAAACTTACTTCATATTTACCGTTTTTAAAGATAAAAACGTGCGGAAGTCCAGCAATTCGTGTTCCATCTGCGGTTCTTTCTTCAATTTTGAAAATCTGGATGCATCCAAAGTTTAACTTGAGGAGCAAATCATTTCTTCATAGCGAAAAATTTGCCAAATCCCATAAGATTTCCAGACAATGTATGTTTAGGTTTCATATTCACGAAATTTGGTTAGTTCGCCTGCTTATAAATTTCCAGCGCCCAAAAAATCTTGAATATTCTGTAAAATCTTCATAGAAAGCTTTTCTTCCTATTCAGAATTTTCAAAAAGTCCAGAGCGATAAAAATGAAGGAAAGTCTGGATATATATATATATTGTATAGTGCCTAGTTCGGCGTGTATGTTGCGCATGTTCAAACTCTGTTTCGGCCCTCGAACAAGAGAAAAATGGATACGAGAGATAAAACAGGAATTCCTAAAAGAAATTCCATTATCACTGCGATGTTCCAGCTTCGCCTTCTGTTATTCCAACACGACCCCGAACATGGGCACCAAGATCACTGTCTGAATGCAAGCGATTCTTCTCGCCTCTCAGCGATTGCAGCACAAAAAAATGTGTGCTTCTCCATAAAATATATTCCCTACTCACAAGTGTGTCAACGCGCTCAACCGACACCAGAGAATAAGAATAAATCATTTTATTCATTTTCTGGACATGTAACACTAGGTAATAAACGCCCTAAAAATAAATAAATAATATCTTGGGGGGTGTTATAAAATGCGACGAATAAAATATAAATTTGAACAAAATGGAAGTCATCCCAATAACAAGAGTGAATAAATTTCTGGCCTTATCGATTCATTCCATCGAATCTGAAAGAATTCTATAAAAAAAATACCTTGCAGCGATTCTTTTAATTCTCGTCATTACATTCATGAATGGGATTATTCTTCGTGCAGAAGAACTTTTGTGAAAACTCACAGAAAAACGTAGGGTGGATTACAGAATTGGGACAGATTTTTTTTTTTGACTATAAAAGCTCAACTGCATCCAATATATGCTAAAATCAGCCGCAATGTAAATTCAATCACCAAATAACTCAAATCTGGCAAAGGGAAGTCGTCTTCTTCGTTCCCTCAACAACTTCGTGCAAAATTTCAAGCAATTTTCATTGCACCTTTTCGAAACGACAGTAAAACTAATGTACTGTACAGTACTTGACCACAAAAAATAAAATAAAACGACTTGACCAGCGTGGGCATCACAGAATGTGACGAATAAAATATAAATTTCAACGAAATGAAAATCCCAACAAAACTGAGTTTGGCGCCTCGGAAAGGAAGAGGGTGGATTTCTGGCGAAATCGATGGTGAATTTAATCTTATCAATCGAATAATTTCTCGTCGCAATTACGTTAATTCTCGTCATTCCAATCAGCACTCGTACATTCTTCGTAAAAAAAAATAGATGCTGTGGAGAGTGTAAACATTCTTCACATGCTTTGATCGCGATGCTTCAGTATTTTCCAATTTGAAGACCATTTCCCTGACACAATCACATTATTTTGTTGTTCCACACTTATTACTCTTTCCTTTTTTGGCCTGTCCGACACATTCTGACTGAGTTTTGTCTGGATGATGTTGGGTTTAATTTTCAACCAAAGAAATTGTTCCAAATTCCTTCGACATGCATTCTATAATACAGTATTTACTTTTAATGTTGATGTCTAATAGCACAAGAAAGACACTTCACTCGCATCTTTAGTCAAAAATAAGAAATACCTTTTCATTTATCTACTTACTGTATTTTGATCAAGAGCTGGATCTGAATGCATCGGTTAAAAGATTCATTCCAGGAGCTGGACACAAGCAGAACCGGATCTTCATCGCGATCGCGTTACTGCAATAACGAGTTCATTTAACCCTAGGAATGGGTGAGTGAAGGGTTCTCTCTTTTTTTCCACTGGAATGAACCAGTGACAGAAGACCAGAACGACCGGTATTCTAAATGATTTGTAATCCCGCCTGTTCAAACCATCGGCCTCGAGGTTAACTGAGAGGAATTGGTCTCATCTCACAAAGAAACATACTTATAAAATACAGGGTGGAACAGATTGTGAAGATGAGGGCCGATTTCCAAGGAAACAAAGTTCACTGCAACAGCTAAAGAAATATTTTACACGCTGGGGGCCCCGAGATGCGGACGTAATTGGTGCTTGGGACTTGTATCTATGTCCGGTGTCTTCGTATTTAGGAACACATTTTTACATATAGACAGCAAAACTAATTTATTGTATTGATTTTCCTGTTCAACAAAAATTAGGAATGAACTCTTCAAAATTTGTACAAATGTTCTCTCACCTTCAAGACGCAGAAAATAACTGCATCGTGATGAAAACCACTAAGAATCTGATCTTTTTCGTATCGGAAGGAGCTTAAGAAGCAAAGCACGAGAAAAAGTCTAGCTATACTGTGGGAAAACTCTGAATTAGAAGCACATAATTAGTCTGTTCTCGATTATGAATTTGAGTAATTTCATGATGGAATTAATTTTAATTTTTGTGAATATAAAGACTGTAGTTCAATTTGTTTCAAACACATGAGAAATTCAAATCTGTTTTTCAATTTTACCAGAAATTTTCGAAATTTTCTTGTATGTCAAGGACATTTTCCGGATTTCGGATATTTTTAAAAAATTGCAAATGTTCATTGGTCAAATCGTCCTTATCTAGGGGTCCCACCGTATTTTCGGTTTTTATTTGTCATTTCCAGCTACCATACCATGGTAGCTACCAGCTACCATTGCTTCGAAAATTTGAAAACCTTTCTGAATGTAAAAACGATCGCATCAAGTGTGTACACATTTTATTCAATCTGCAATATGTCACAAAAAAATGTATTACTACACATCATAGTAGTTTTTAAATTTTTGTATCAATACATTACACGTATATTCTGTTTTTTTTTCAAACTCATGCATTAAAAATATGAAACTTGGGATGTTGTTCTTGTAGCTTTTTTCAAATTTTAGAGTGGTTTAAATAGAATTTTCCTGGTCTTGTCCTTGTATACTCGTAGATATCCGATTTTTTTGCCACACAACTTCCATGGACATTTTTCTTGACATTTCCGAGACGGTTTTCTCCTTGGCTCGCGAGTGCGACAAGGAAGAACCTCGGAATAACGGAAGATTTTTTGCATGTCGGATATATTTGGCTCAAAAATCTGGGTGAAAAGTGATTCTTCAATGAAGAATCAAGGGGGGAAAAAAAAGAAGAAATTTCGCGCTCCAAAGGCCCAACCATTGTCCCTCTCCCCGTCTTGTTCTCCTGAGAAATATTTTTGCTGGAAAGCGTGATTCTTCAGGAAAAAAAAAAATCTGCGTTTTAGGCATCCCGCAAAAAGAAAAAAATCTGGCTAAATTAAACAGAAGCAGATTACTTTCGCACCTCGTAAATCTCCGCACAGCATTTTAAAATTCGACTCACGGAAAAAAAACATTTGTTTAGACATGGTGGATTACAGAATTGGAACAGATTTTTTTTTTTTTTAATGAAAGCTCAACTGCACCCAATATGCTAACATCTGCCGGTCTAGAACTTCAATCATCAAATAAATCCAATCAGGATCGTCTTCTTCATTTACCGGCCAACTTTCTGGGAATTTCAAGCAATTTCAATCACATCTGTTCGAATCAACCATAGAAACTTAGGTAACTTATGTTGCAAGAAAATAAAACGACTTGATCGATTGGCGAAGAATTTATTTTAAAATGGAAAATAATTTTAGAACTTTTCGCGCTGAAATTAATAAATCTACAAGAAGACCACTGTTGAACATCGACAATTTGAATATTTCCCATGCCGATTTTTGTATGTCCCTGTCTGAATTCGCTTGAAAACAATACAGTGAAAACCACGCAAACTCGAAGGATTTCCCCCCTAAAACCTCAAAAGGTTGAATTTTCTGGAGATTTTCCAGCTGTTATTTTTTGGGCACAGAAAAGAGAGAAGCCTCAAAAATGGAACTTGATGCATTTTTGAAGGAAATGAAGGACTCATCAGCTTCAGCATCCCGTCAACGCATTTAGGAAGCAATTTAAAGCCCAGAAAATCGCCGATTATAATTTCCTGTAATCCTTTTTTTTAATTTCCGTCTATTAAAAAAAGCTTGTTTCCCTAACTCGAAACCTCCCCAAGTCGAATTTTTTGCTGGACCCTTCAAGTTCGACTTCAAAAGATTCTACCTCATCTGATATAGTCATCATTGTGCCCGAGCCCTTTGAGTTTCAGGCATTATAAAAAGTGGAAAAAAGCTCAAATATTTTCCCAGCAGTTTGAACCTCAAAAAAAAAAAGATCGTTGAAAAAATACTTCCCAGCATCCGGTTAAAAAAAAAATTTGGCGAACAAATTAGGAGTGGACCTCGGGGCTGTAATAACATTCGAACAATCCTAAAACGGAAGTGGGACAATTTCTGCCAATGAAAAAGTCGTCCTGAAACCACAGCAAAAATAAAGAAAATAAATATAAAAGTGACTCACCGACGCATTCGTTGGCTTGTCTGGCAGTTGCCCGACTCCACGGCCTGTCAAAGTGGAACGGTTTGCACTTTTCGCAATCCCTGCCCGCAGTGTTGTGCTTGCATTCGCACGCCAATTGCCCAGTTTCATCCGGGGCACAACGCGACGCGTGTCCGTTGCACTTGCATCGCCCACCCACGGAAATATCCGACACTGAGTAAAAGTCCAGTTCCGACGCCATTTCCACCATTTGCTGTCGAGTCGCCAGCGACAGTGGCTCTTCAACGACAGCGTCCTTGTTGTTGTTGTTGTTGTTGTTGTTGCGACGCAGGGACAATGGCGATGATGAAGTGACGTTGCCGGCTGAAGCATTGTCGACACTGTCGGTGTCACTGTCGCCTTCGTCGTCGATGTTGAGGGAGTTGTCTTCGGCTCCTGGAGAAGAGGAAGAAGATCCGGCAAACATGGTGTTTGTGTGCTGGAGGCCCTGCATCAAGAGGCGGTCTTCGTTGAGAAGCTTTGGGAGTACGTCGATGGACGCCAGTCGGTTGAACACCAACTTGATGTCTGTCGCTGTCACCCAATCCTGTGGCAAAAATTTGTCAATGCAAAAAATTGGCATGAATAAAGCAGTGCTTTTTTTCAAATGCTGGCAGACGGGTGGTGGACTCTCTCTCTACAACGATCTTGGCTACAAAGATATTATCTGTGTCTCTAAAGACAAATACGAGCTATCACTCAGTCCTGTGGAAACATTTGTCAATGCAAAAATTGGCATGAATAAAGCAGGGCTTTTTCGAATGCTGGCACAGAGGTGGGCTCTCACTACAACGATCTTGGCGGCAACGATATGACGAATGTCACCGAGTCCTGGGGGAAAATTTGTCATTGCAAAAATTTCCATAAATAAAGCAGGGCTTTTTTCGAATGTTGGCACAGCTGTGGACTGTCTTTACAGCGACCTTGGCTACAACGAAATTCTCTGTACCTCTATGACGAATATCACCCAGTCCTGTGGAAAAGTTTGTCAATGCAAAAATTGGCATGAATAACGCAGGGCTTTTTTAAATTTTGGCAAACAGGTGGACTCTCTTTACAACGATCTTGGCTGCAACGACATTCTCTGTACCTCTATGACGATTTTTTTCGAACCCGTTGTAGAGAAAGTCAATGTTATCCGGATCCTCTACAACGAAATTCTCTCTACAACGATTTTTCTTGTCTCTTGAATTTCGTTCTAGAGAGTCCACATGAATAAACGTATCAAAACTTTTTGACGTGAGAATACCATGTCAGATAGTTTTGCAGCAGATTCAGTGTGATACAATAATTTCTGGCATTATTTATATTCGCAAAATAAATTATTCATCAGGTGATCATGTCATTCCCGTAATTGAATGATTAACGTCGCGCAGGGAAGACGATTTCAGGTGGTTTCCTGTCGCAGACTGTTAGGAAATTCAAAAATTTATATTTTCTTGAATTTTCTATTTATAAAATAAATTAATAGGCACTTGATCAAGTCGTGAAAATGAATGAGTTACATTATGCCACGTGCCGCATCAAAAGCAGAAAATATGCTGTACCTTGTGTAAAAAAAAACTAAATTTTTCAAAAATTTCCGAGTTTACGGATTCAGGAATTAAATATTTTAAATCATGAGAAAAACTGCCCAAATGCTTAAGCAACATTTTTAGAGGCATAAAAATGTTTGGCCCATCCTTTGAGGTGCAGTCCCCAATTGTATTGATAAAATCACAAGGAAAGTATTGTGATTGATCTTTTAATTTGGTTTTGAATTTCGCCTTTTAATTTTTCTTGCTTTTCATTCTGCACTTCGACGCACATTGTAGCGAACCATCTTAAAATGCAGTTCCGAATTAACTTTAAAAAATCTAAGCAAAAGCTGCTTTATTTAACTTTGATTTGAGCTCAAAATTCAGCTTTTCATTTTGCTTCATTTCGCAGGTTCTGTATTTTCGAAAATTCACAGGTCCGCACAGTATTGTTGTAGGTTCAGTCCCAAATCGAATTTGAGGTCTTGTTAGAACTCATCAAGAATACCCTACCCAGCACCGCAAATCCAAGCTCGGTTCGCTGACGACTCATTGCACGACGAGGAACAAGATTCCATGCCCCTGCAAAATTTTGATTTCGTTTGCGACTAGTTGAGGCAGAAAGGCACAAGTACTGTACAGTACAAGAACCCTGGAAATGGCAAATATTGAGCGCGTTGATTATAGCGACCTTCGCGGCAGCCGACAATCGGTCTGGGTGGAGCGAAGTTGAGCCAATAAACCAATTTTCGCCTCCCGAAAGCGGCTTTATTTGGCGGCGAAATGTCTGTCGGCACGATGTTCCCCAGGGCTCGAAAAAAATAAATTCGCCGCGAAAAATAAATCGTCGTCGAAAACTATGTAGGAACAAAGTTCAAGCGACAGACAAACGCTCGGAAAAGAGGCCTGGAATGTATGTGAACTTCACGGATATTCCCCCACAAACCTACACCAAGAAAACCAAAATTAAAAAATACAGTAATTACTAAAAAATAGATTATGATGACCTCAAAACTGTGATTACCCATAATCAATGTCAAGAGAAAGGAGCTTTAATCGAAAATACGATTCGATACGATTGACTCCTTAAAATTCAAAATTCGTTGGAAATCAAGAAGAAAATTTCAAAGGAGCTCTCTCTCTCCCTCTCTTTCTCTATCTCTTCAGAAGAAAATATTGTTTTTAATTAAATCCAACAGAATTAGCTCCTGAGAATTCAAAAATCCAAAACATGAAGGGCGCGAAGAAAAAACCATTACCCACGATAAACCCTTTTTCAATTTCTAAATAAGTGTTCTATAAAATAAGGTACGTTAAATCGTTGTCGACAAAAACGTAGAATCAAAATTTCAAAGACAGGCAAACATTCTGAAAAGAGGAAGCAGGCCAACAACCAAAATCCGGCTCCAAGAAAAGTAATAACAGCAAGGGTAAACGGAATAGACAACGCCATTCTATTTTATACTCAATTAATGTGCAAAAATACAAGAAAAATTGAAGATCCTACGGAATTGAGTGATTATGATGACCTCCGAAATTCAATTTTCCTCAATCAGTGTCACAAGAAAGAGGCCTTGGTCGAAATTACGATTCGAAATGATTGACTCCTTCGGATTCACAAATCGTTGGAAATTAAGCAAACAATTTTGAAGGAGTGAATTTTTTTATAAAAACTCTCTATCCATTACACAGACGAAAACATTTTTTACGAAATAAATAAAACAGAATCGACTCTTGAGAATTCATCGATCCAAAAAAAATAGAAGGGCGCTCAAAAAAAAAGAAAAACGATTCCCCTCAATCATCCCTTCTCAAATTTCTAAATACGTGACTTACTGAACAAAATTTACGAAAAATGGACATTCAAAAGATCTTCCGAAATTCAGAGCTGACGACCAGTCGCGTTTAGTCAACCTTTCCTCTTTCTCATTAAAGAAAACTTCGCTTTGAATAAACTTTCAAAAACAATAACTGAAACTAAAAACAAAAAATCCAGGGAAATTGGGTGGAGTGATAACCCTCATTCAACCCATTCTTCCTCTTTCAAAATGAACAAACACGGGGCCCAAATAAAATTAATTACGTGCCTCCAATTTACTCACCCGTGACTGCCAGAGATGTAAGCACAGCAACTTGACAAACAGAGGCATTAATTAGGTGAGAAATTACGATTTATTCATCAAGCATGCGAGGTGAGAAGCGACGCGGTCAGATAAAACCTAATTATGCTCCAGTACTTTTAAGTGGAACGGATGAGGATTTTCCGTTGATAAAAGCGGAACTGCTACTTTTTTTCACAGCACGTAAAAATTGGGGGAAAAGGAAACTCCCCAAAAGGTAACTAATGATAATAATGATGCTCACTGCGGCTTCGTGATTCATAAAATTGATGATTTATTGGCGTTTCATGAGCAGAATCATCAGCAGATTGCAAGAATGCAGAACTTTTTGGCTGCTCATAGAATTATTCCATTAGCTATCTGCCATTAAATCACGAAAAAGGGGTGCTTGTGGTCACACTAATTGAAGAAAGTGCCGATTTTCAACTGAAAGAAAATCCCTCGCGCTAGAATTGAGAATCCTCAAAAAAGGAGCCGAAAAACTCAATTAACGTAATTAAAATAGGCATAATCAACAATCTCTTTCGAAAGACGAGGATTTATTTCGCTGACAAAATAAGAATGCATCGAATGGAACGTTCACAAGAAATATGCTTCTAAAATTACAAGATTCTCTCCCTAAATTTTTGCATTACTGGACATTTGAAGGCGGCCTAAAAACATATTTTAGTGCAATGCATAAAATAAAAAGTGCTTGCATAAAAAAGCGCAGTTATACAAATGGTCATGATACAAAGGAATAAAAATAAACATCAACAGTTCGACGCAGATTTGCAGAGTCATATAAAGTGGCAGTTTGGTTAGGTTTGTTATTACCAAGAAAAGATTCTTCTGAATTACTTTCCTTTTCACTTTTTTGAGAAAACTCGCCATTTTGCTTCGCACAACTGTTGGACACCCGTCGTTTTGTGACGCGCCTATTTCACTCCGAAATAGGAAAATAAAAATTCAGGAATATGATTTCAACTGAGTAAAAGGAGGGAAATTTTGTCCAACGAGATTTGGATAATTAAAGAAATTACGCCACTGGCATTCATGAATGATTTTCGACAAATTCTACTCAGAATTCATCCGTTGATTCAATTTTGTGATGCTGCTCCGTGCATAAATTGGTTGTAAAGAACACACATTTTTTTCTTGATTTGTTTTTCATCGCTAGTGCGGCTTTTGAAACTCGCTATTCTAGAACACACTCAATTTTCTCAGAATCGATGGCAAATCTAAAAAAAAAAAAATATTTAAAAAATTTACCTGAAGAACCGGCGAGTTGTCGAAGTCGAGAGCAGACGGCCGACCATCCAAGGTGGTGAACGCAATGCGTGAGGACGCCGTGGAATAGGCGCCTCCTTGCGCCGCCTGCTGACGATGATGATGGTTGTGGTGGTGATGGGCGCCGCCGTGAGCCGTCATCCCGGCGCCATTGTTGGCGAGATGGGCGTCCGTGCACAGAGCTTCTTGCTCGTTCGCTCTGCCAATCGGGGCTCTGTTGGGCCTGGCGTACACTTTACGACAGTGGGATGAATAAAACTGGAATGGCTGCCACGTTTTGCCATAGTCCATCGATTTGAATATGGACATGGAGTCGGGTTTGCGACCGCCGCAAAACTGCACCGTGATGTAGGTTAGTTCGTACTTCTTGCCAAGGCTGAGGGTCAGGGTGACGTTGTGCTCAGCATGTCGAATCTGCCAATTTTCAAAACAAACAACGTCAACAAAAATAGTTTTAAAAAAATCTTCGAACCACAAGCACTATAGAAAATGGAAATATCTTCGCAACGAACTCCTAGCAGGGACCGAATAAAAAATTCGCTGCAGCTTAAAATTGTTAACGGTACAGCTTTTAATTTCGAAAAATCCGAAATTCTCTCTACAGCAAATTCTAACGATACTGCTTGTAATGCAGAATAAATTATTAATATATTAGAATGAATATATATTCATAAAATTATTAAATTTGTATAGTTTTCTGGTTCGCCCTTTAATTTCCGAAACGATTCTGTAATATTGAATAAATTACTGAGACAAATTCATAAAAATATCTTTCCACTGTTTAATGGTACGCCTTTTAATTTCAAAACAGCCGAAATTCTCTCCACAGCGAAGTTCGACGATAGTATTGAATAAATTATTGTAATACAGTACGACAAATTGATAAAATTATCGTTTCATACTCTGATTCCAGAAAATCCCAAATTCTCTTCGAAGCGAATTCTCCTCGTTTCGGGTCCTCTGAATTTCGCTGTGGAGCGGATCTTTATTTTTTTCAGACCACCTGTTCGAAATAAGATGATAATAAAGGTGCGGCACCCACCTGTGGGGCGCTTTTCCAGCAAGTCACGTTGCTGGGGTTGTTCAAGTCAGTCAGGAAGGCAGTGGGGTGAAAGAGCTTGGGATCCCGGGCATCGCAGGTGTCACAGAGCCCCGTGTCCGGGTCGCAAGCCCGCACAGCAGGCGCCCCGCAGGTGCTGGACGACTCCACGTGCTTCCCGAAAGCCGCGTTCACGAAGTCCGGGATGCACCGCCTGGGCTTCTCGCCGCTCTCGTCGTAGCACGGATCTGCTGCGGGCTTTTGCTGGGCAAACAACTGCAAAAGCTGCTCAGTTGTCTTGGAAGAGCTACTGCTGCTGCTGCTGCTGCTGCTTGAAAGCAGGTTGTTGGTGTTGGTGCTGGTTGATGAAGACAGCGATGGGGAAGAGGACGAGGATGAGGACCAGGGAGACGAGCAGAGCGCCGAATCGAGCGACGTGGTCGCGAGGAAGGCGAGCATGACAGCCATGTTTGCCGTCATTTTTATTTCTCCCTTGTTTCAAAGTTTATTTTCGCAAAAAAAAAAATTTTTGTTTGCATTCACTGGAAACTGAAGTGTTTGAGCTTCGGCGCACGATTATTTTTTCGAATATTAATTTTTTTTATTTATTCAGTACGGAAAAATGTTCCACAACGTCGTCCGCTCACCGCGAAAGCGGAAACGAAACACTGTTGCACCACACACTGATGATGATTTTGAATTCACTGGCATACTGAAAAGATCGTCGCAAAAGGGTTTTTCGATTTTTTTCTCCGTCAAAATTTGCATCACGAATTTCTATACCCACACGTTTTGTCGTTTTTCTTGGAAAATTATTCACCGGGGGTAAGTTTTGGTCAGCCGTTGCTCAAGAATCGAATGCAATTTGTTTTCAAACGAAGTTAAGAGGAAAATATTTGCGCAATCAGACTCGCTCTATGCTATTTATTCGGGGGAAAATTAAATGTGGCTCCCGTGAACTGTAAATCAAAACAGAATCTGGAATGATGTGAGTGGATTAAATTTTACGAAAGATGAGGATTTTGGCAAAACTCTCCTTAAAAATCGAGGAGGAACAACACGCATAGACCGAGATTTAAATGTCTTAAACTTAAACGATAGCATTTCATAACGTAATTAGGTGAGTGCATATGCAATTATGTTCCATTGTTCCTTGGTGTCAACCCTTCAATTTCAGAAAATTCGATTGAATCGTAATTGAAGCTACAATTTTATCTAATTACTTGCATGAAAGACTTCAAAATTCGTCGGCTTCAAAACAATGAGCTGTGCCTAACAATTAATTCAATTGTTGTGCGATTTTTATTATATTTTTAGCATAATGTAGTTCGAATCCCAATCCATCCACGAAAACAACACACAGTAAGTTCCCAAGATTTCCACGGATGTCAAAAAATAAACGTTGAGCATCGCGTTTTCTGCACAAATATCCCGGTGAGGTACTAGAAACAAACCGGTTCTTCTCCATTTCCGTTTTCACGGCTTATCCTCACGAAGTTGAAAGGAATCATCCAGACAAAAACGAGTCTCCGTATGACATTCATTGGTTTTTTTTCGATCTTCGGACGAAAGGAAATCTTCTGGATGTGGTTAAGTTTGAGAGAGATCGGAAATTGAACCCAGATTGAAGTGCAGTAGCTTCATATTTAAATTCAAGGGAAGAGAAGCAAGGGTGGAATTTCAAAACGTAGACTAAGAAACTTGTCAATATTCCACACACCAAAATTTAATACAAATACTACACTGTACAGTATCAGAAAATCCATCAGCAGAAGCTTTGAAGAAAACATCAATCACATCTCATGGAAATTGCTGTGAAAGTTACTCGAGAGCTCCAACAAACCCAAAATGACGATCAGCAAAATGATGAACATCGAATGTCAAAACGTTTTGACGTACAGTGTTTTCAAACCTCGATATCAGAAGAGAGATAAACAGACTTCGGGCTCAAATTAAAGTTCAACTCAATTTCTTTCGAACGCTGTAATATGTGCATGAGTCCGTCAAATTATGGAAAATATCTGTCACCAAAATGGTAAATTATTGCATTCAAAGCTGCAAGATCTCAATATCTCTTGCTGAAAATCTGAATGTGAGCTGTTAAAAGTGAAGTAGTAACTTTACACGAGATACTTCGGAAAAAGTGTTTTCTTTTGCATATTATTGTAGCTAAAAGCATAAGACTTTTCATTTTGGTTTGCAGGCATTTCCCAAAAAAACTGTATTGCGCTAAATTATGAAACACATTTTTCAGGTAAATTACACCTTATTCGTTAATTTACCGCAATTTTCAGAAATTTCTCGCGATTTCAAAAGTTAGACCAAAAAATCTACGAATTAAAAAAAAAAAAAAGATTCTGAAGACCTCGGATACGATGACCAGAACGACCGCGTCTTCAGAAGTTTTCTGGATTTTCCTGCGAAAGTCGATCAAATTTCCGAAGGTCGTTCAACGCGTTGACAAAAGCGAAAAAATAGAATAGATTAACATCCCACCCACCTGCATAATCCCGCCCTCAATGATTCCCGGATTAACGGATTTCAATCCAACGCACTGAAACAGTTACTTTCATCCTTTTTTTATCCTACGGCGGGATCGGATATTATAACAGAGGCCAGAAAACAAAACAAACAAAAAACATGAAAAAATAAACACAATAAGAAAAGCGTTGCGTCAAGTGAAAACACGTAGGGATATTGTTTGACTACTCGGACTTGACGCCGGCCACCAACAGCGACGATAAGACCCATAGTCGTTAATTTTTTTGAGCAACCAAAAGTGGAAGTTTGCCCTTCGAATTCCGTTAACAACTTTTGTCAAATCCTTGCATGGGGGGGGGGTTGGAGTCAGAATAAAGTCGCCGCCTTATTGCTGCCAATGGTAACATGAGGTTCGCGCAATATTCGCTGGTTGATGTGATCCGGTAAACACATAGGCTTCTCAGAATTCTCGCAAGTCATTCAAAAATTTTGATTGTCAGACGATGATGCCTAATATTTCGTTTTATATAATACAGTAATTCTTGAAAAAAATAAATAATGAGCTAAAAAGTTTCTGATGATGCAATCAGTCGTGATTTGAGTGGAATGACCAAATGAGCAAGACATTCCACACAGTTGCTGAAATTAAATACTGCATGTGAATTTTTAGACATCTGAAATTAACCCACAATGGTTAATTCAGCGCATTCTTACTTTTTTTAGCTGGTTACAAATTTTAAGCATGTTAGCAGACTTCTGAAGGTGTTCAACAAATACGAAGACTTCAAGATGTCTCTAAAGTCTTTATATTTAATACTCTACCATTCTATTGTATTATTAATCTAGGCCTGATGAACTTCAAAAATGGGAGATTTCTTATCCTTGAATGCCAGGTTCATTCCATGAAGACTCCTTGAGTTTCTACTAAAGGAATGTAAGTGTTTTATTCTCATTTTCGATGCATGAGCAACAAGTGTAGCTATATGTAAGTTCAACAGCAATGACCATAGAGCAATGAGCAGGCATATAAAGACAGGCAGACTTCATAGACCTTGCATTCCAAGACTGGTCAGACCTGGATCTGACCTTGTTTTGGGGCAAGTTGCATAATTTGGCAGTGTGTGACTTGGCATGGCAGCACATCATCAGGAATATGAAAGTGGGGAAACAAACAACTGATTTCTGAATTGTCTGCTACTGTATCAAGAAGGAATGACAGAAAGTATTTGATGACAAAAAGAATTGAAAATTTGAACTTATTGCGCACCATCAAAGAGCAAACTTACAAATTCTAAAAAAATAATTCCCTTGCAACTTTGAATGAACAAAAATCCACTATTTTTTTTGCGGCTATATTCAATTATAAAAATTTTTTAACATTATTAAATAGCTCAAGAACTTGGAAATAGATTGAGAAGTGGTGCAGTTGGGTGTTGGTTAACAAATGCCTGGTCAACCAACTTTTTCGATAACAATCATTGCATTTTGGCCTCAGCTGCCTTTGGTAACAAACCATGACTTGGTTTACAAACTTTGATTGCAAATGCAGGCCTCCCAAAAATGCCCACACCCTTGGGTCAGAAATTGACACAATATATTTTCCAGCAGGTATTTCTAGCTCTTCTACAGGATTGAGGTTTGATTAAAAAAAAATGATTCTTGAATGGATTTGACTTTTATTTACGTTTTTAAATTCTATTTTTGCATAATTATTTCTTCATAGTTCTCTCAATTTGCTTCCAACCAAAGAAAATTGGGCTTGGTGCTGGAAGGATTGTACATAAATGCAAGTGATTAAATTGCATGAAAGGATTGACTAAGAGGCCCAAATACATTTACTGATTGATTTTTGTGTGTGTCTATAGGAAGTGTTGACTCCACCTGCCCTTTCTGGCATTCTTCTTATAGGCTCCTGTATTCATCAACACTTCTTTGAGCTTCTCTTTTAATTTTTTCAATAAATATACTTGGATTTTTGGCCCTTTAAAAATTCTAGGTGAACATTTTATTGATTTTCATGAACATTTTTCAAGTTCTGGAAACAATTAAATTTTTCCTGTACTTTCTTCAGAAAAATGTGATTTGGTTAACAAACTTTGCTCAGGGATGGATTAAGTTTGTAAATCAAGGCCACACTGTAAATTACAATTTTTTGAATCTTGCAAATCAGCGTCAGTCAGCAGGAATATGCTCAGCCATTTTATACAAGTCATCACCGATAAAATTATTGCCATATCACCAATGCAAAATCTTGCATTTACTTCCATTTTCATCTTTGCTGTTTGCACTTTCTCAAATTTGGCGCTTTAATTTATGACTTATGATCGCAATTTTGCCCGAAAAATTGTTCCAATTATTTTTCTTTAAATTTATCTCCATCGTTGCAAATTATCGTCGACATCGCTTTGAACGTATATTTATCCTGGACATAGCATTTAAAAATGCATCGAATCGGCAGCAAATTAGAATAATTCAGTCAATCGACATTGCAAAGTTACTCCCTTCATTTGAACATCCTGAATATTCATAGGCAATCACATCTGTTGAAGATTCTGGGAGCAAATCTTTGCTGGTATTAACTCAACAAATCAGCCGAACTAACATTTATTTCCATCAATTCATGCGTCTTGGTCTTGTAAATGCAAAAAAGCTTAAATTAAAATAAAAGCTTAAATCTTAGTGTGAGAAAAATACATCCCTGACCAGTACTAACACATCTACCATTCGAGTTCTCCTGGAGAGTTTTTTTAAGTTTTTTGTGCATCTTGAATTTTACGTTGCCCGAGATAATCTTGAAATTTCAAGATTTAAAAGTTTATAGTTCAGAATTCGCCAACGCTGACCCACAGGAAGGCTAGGAAGAAGTTTAGCCTTTATTGCATCACATGCATTTGCTGAAAGTTGATTTATCCCATCACATTACGAAGCTGTGAGAGACTTCCTGTCCCATAAAACCCTTTGAACACCTGCGCGTCTTTCTTTACTTTATATCTCGGAATTCAGCATAAATTCGCAACTACCTGGTGAAACTGGAGGAAGGCTAACAGAATTCTGCGCAGGAGCTTATTACTTGGAAGTCAGCGCATTTGTTCGTCTTTTGTTCAAGAAATCAGCATTCGAGAAACGCGGCTGACCGAGAAATTCGAAAAAATCTGTTGAAAGCTTCTAAAACATGTCCAACGCACAAAATCCAACTTTTAAATTTGTGTCCAAAAATACTTGCGCAAAAATCACGATGCTGACGCGTTGGTTGATATAGGAATCCAACAAGTGTTGAAGCTCAATCCTCAGATAATTCCGCGCAACGAAAATGCACTTCGGCAAAATAACCAGAACGAATCATTCTATTAATAAATAAGGATTACTATTTATTTAAAATAATAATAATAAAACAGTATTGGATAATGTAAACATGGGATGATTCCGAAGTGTTGCGACTTGGTCAATTGCGGGTGGTCTGACGTTCAGAGACGGTTTTCCATAATTTTCTTTTTAAAAAACCCAGCACACAAAATTAAACTAAATCAGTCTGTTTCTTTTAGATATAGGTTTAGGTGAAAATTCTGATTTCATGAAACCGATTTTGATGTTGATGACTTAGTACAGGATTGCTAAATGTGATTGAGGATCCCTAAAATTCCGTCTTGCAAGTATACAAGACGTATAGGGCAGTTGGAAGACTTCAGAAATTTTTTTTTTTGAAAAAACAAGAATTTCTTCAAGTTTCAGAATAGGAAAATCCTGACGCAAAAACTGAGATTCACCAAAAATTCAGACATTATATTAGATAATTTTAGGCACATGAGTCGTCCGTCGAATTGAACTCAAGCACACAAAAATATGAATACACTCACATTAATGAAGAATACGGTACGTTCAACATCATTGACCGATTATGGGATTTAATAGCTGTATTTTTTCACATAAAAAAAGTCTCTCAGATTCATTAAATCCAACATCTCTCAGCTTTCCATTCCACGCATTTTGAGAGACCAACTCTTCTAATTTTTCGCAGTCCAATTCCGTTTTCAAATCTCTGTGTACCCGCGGCGCGTATGCTACTGATATATGCTCAACAAGAATTATTTCTCGTCAGATATCGAAAGGCAAGAGTTCACCACACCAGACGAGTAAATTATCCATGAGGAATAACATGGCACAGCAGCGTTCGCGTACAGTCCACAAAAAATACACTGACATTGAAGATAATAATCATCATCCTCCCACACAACATCCGAGCTGGAGGAGAGCGAGCGCGGAACTGACGCGGTTCGCGCCGAACGCTGCCAACGAGCCACCACCAGTCACCCGCGGCTCTGTGGTAAGAATACTGAGCCTAAAACTATTCAGTGCCACAGCAATAAGCTTCCATGATTCAGTATGAGGAGCCCAGGCTTTTCAACAACTGATGGTTATGGTACGAGATGGTGCATGAGCGCCTCGAACAGACGATCAAGCAGGTAGGAAACCATCAGTGAGAGACCCGTATATGCAGACACCCCAATAACACACAGACGTGTTGACTTATAGGTGCACTTCAAACCCCAAAACCAATCCGGCCTGACATCCATGCAGACATTGACTCTAGTTATAGGGACGCACTTCTGGTATTTTCCATAAAAATCAAAAAAGTTTAATTTTTTAATTTTTGATGTCTCAGACAAAACGAGCTATTTATACACGCAAAAATTGGAAAATACTCTACTATATTCTAATATAAATTTACTCTACTTCACAATCAAACACAATCTCATCATGCGCTACTTTTTTCAGAATTTTTTTTTTCGATCATCTATGTGCACATTATATAGCAAGACCTATTCTCGTTCTTTGCTTTTGGGCTCCTTTTTATGCCAAAAAATCAGATTCTATGTGGTTTTCTTCTGCACTGTTGATTTCTATAACTTGAAGTTGTAGGAAATTTTTAAATTTTTTTTTGAGGACTTATTCCTAATTTTGACGAACTGGAGAACCAATTGAATACGTTTGCAGGGAAGTCTATGGGAAAACAAGGTTTGAAATATGGATGATCCGACATCGGGACAAGGTCCAATTAAGCATCAATTACGTCCGCATCTCGGGGTCCCACTGAACAAATATACCATTGGGAGCCGTGATGCGGACATAATTGATGCTAGGACCTCTGTATGCCGAATCATACAGTACTTTCCTATTGAATCAAATGGGAACATATTTAATTGGTTCTCCTGCTTTTCAGAAATAGGAAAAAAATCCTTCAAAATTTATAAATTTGTTTCTCAGCCTTATAACATAAAAAGCCCCACAAAATCTCTTCTGATGAGCAGAAAATGCCAAAAAGCAAATATCAAGCATGATTCTTGCTATACTGTTCACAGATTATGGCGAAAAACTTTGGAAACATAAGCACGAAATTAGCCTGTCTTCGATTATGAATTAGAGTAAATTTATTTTTTTAATTTTTTTTTTAATACGAAGCAGAATTTATTGTAAAAAAATAACAATTTTTAAATTGAAAATATCCCGGTTTTCTGTAAATGTAGGTGATGTCAATATCTAGGCAATGTGTGGGTGCCAAGGCAGCTGTTTTGAGTGTAGCTTATTTTCGAGGCAGTTCACTAAATCGATTCCCTTCTGAACCTTCTGAAAAGTGGATTGTTCTGTGAGAATTTGAATCGTTGAAATATGGAGGTGCGCAGAAATGCTTGATGGGCGAATATAATGTCTTTCACCAGAAAATTACTAATATTTCACTTCATCTCCACGTCTTTTTTTTCAATATCGGGCAGTTGTCACTCGAACCAATAACTTTGGTTAAAAAAAATTCAACTCGACCTAAAAACCTTACCCAGCCTACTAAAATCAAGCAAATAAATTAACTGTTGCATTTTAACCTTAATTCGTTACCCTAACTCCAGCCCAGCGTAAACCTTGCAAAAGATTAGGCGACCCTTGTTCATGTTTTTGCAAATCCCCATAAAAGGACTGAATTACGCAAATGAAAAAGTAATTGCAATACTATGAATTTAATTGATCGTCCAACAAAAAAAACACGTAAAGAATCATCATTCAAATGATCGAAATATTCCCAATAAATTTTTCATTGCACAGTATTACTTTAATGTTGGTCGAATATATACTGCAGTACTTTTAAAAATACTTCACCGTAAATATCTGCCACATTATGTCAGTTCAATAAAAGTTAAAATCAAGATTATAATCTTTTCATAACTCCAGGCAACCGAGGTTTTTTCACGCGTCGATGCGTTTCGAAAATAAAAATCAGGAAGCTTCCATCAACAGCAGCTACATATCAAGCATGCTTATTTAAAATTAAAATATGATCGATGTTTCGAAATATCTATGGAAGTACAATATTACATTAACCTTCAAGATGTAACGACGATGTCTTCCCAGCGCTGATGATTGATTCGAATTCGTTCTTAGCACGAAGGTGTGTATGAAGCTGTGACATCAGGTGCACGAAATAGCAACTCAATAACGCCATCTTTACTTTTTGATAACGTTCTTCAGTTTTTTTCAGGAGCGTGATTTTTCGCAATACAGCAGTTCACAGTCACGTCGAATCGAAGTACAGTACAATACTTTAATAGTCCGTCGAAAAACAAGCAATAAGATTTATAGTTTCAGGAATAATATCCTATCGATCGAATGGAGACGCAAATCCATCAGCATGTGATGGGCGACACTCGAGGAAAATCGGATAAAATCTGTGAATAAACTTCGCTTTCGCGAATTGCTCTTGGTTTATTTTTGTGTAGCACTTTCTTACACAAGGCACATTGTGCAGATTTATTCCGGCATAAAAATGTGCGCACTGGACGAGAACATGGACAAACAAGGAAATTAAAGCTCTGCCGTTACGCCAAAGCGAGACCGAGGTGCTCAGGTAAATATTTACCTTTACATCCTGCCTTTTCTAGAGCACTTCGCAAGAATGGAAAAAAAACCGTAATGTTTTTGGCTCGGTCCGGTTTTTTCATATTTTTTCTTTGAAAAATAATCATGTAATTGAAAAACTATAGAGCGTCAAAATATTTTGACAGCAACACATCAAAAAGGATCATATGAACTACCAACTACGACACCGACGGTTTCAGATAATAACGCTCATATGACAACATACATTTGCCACCGAATTCAGATTTTCGCACAAATTTCGAAGGAGTAATTTTAAATATAACTTACACCGGCTTCAAAAAATAATCAAAACGTGCTTGTATCACCAAGATAAGCAACAAGGCCCGCGTAAAAAAAATTTAAATAAAAATTTTCTAAAATAAATTTTAATAATGAAGTTTGAAATAATTTGAAAACAACGTCAATTGAATTATTCTTTCGGTAGATTGCTCAAATTTTAATTCAATACGGATTTCCAAATTTGGAGAAAGTATATTTTTTCGTCGATCAAAAATATAAAAAGCTTGACTTATACCGTACAAGCTGCTTGATTTATACTAATCAACCTTTCCCGAGATACGATTATACATGCAGATTTTTTCAATCACACATTTTTAATTAAAGTTCAAGGAACCGAATAACACGAGATGAATCAGCTGACGATGAGGCAAATTCTTCCAATTAATTTCCTCGGACTAATTTCAGTTTAAAAAGCTTAATTTTACCTCGGTTCTTATTTTTTCTTGAGGAGTACAGTAGAAGTTTTTCAAAAAATCAAATATATATCAAAAATAATTTTAAATAAGAAAGGATGAAAAATAAACGTAATTATAATTGTACTCGAGCGTGAATATACGAGACACCAACATTTTTTGAGAATTCAATGTTTGAGAATTCGCCCAAAATCATGTGATTTTTAAACCCCCTCAAATGCTGTACTTGCATACCAGGAACTAAAACGAGACAAAATTCTCGGAAGAAAACTCACGATCTAATTGCAGAAATCAAAGCCCAATAAACCTCCGATTCGCACCCGTTTTGGGCAAAGATATCCATCCAAGAAATAAAACTTCATCAGGACTCGCAGGCAATGAAAATCTCTTACATCGACAGGCAAATGGACGAGGCAGTCGAGCAAAGCCATCAACGTCGCGCCATTATTCGACACCCGAGGCCAGGCCTTTTTCCGCGGTCGTCAATGTCGTTCTCTCAATCTGATTTTGCCCCCCCCCCCCCCCCCCCCCCCCCCCCCCCCACC